TGGAATCCGGGGGTAACTGAAATGCCTGAAACCACTGGTAGGGATAGGGGTAAGGTTGGAAGGGAAAAATCGATCTAGGAAGGCTTCCTGGGGGAGATTTAAAAAAGGAAAGGACTGTGGTTTGCTGGGAAGACCATGAAAGGACCTTTTAAAAGGAGGAGGAAGACATTTGCAAAGATCCCAAGTCTGAAGGGAATTCAACTCAATTTAACTTGACAAGCACTTAATGTGTGTTTATTATTTGCAAAATATTGAACTAGACTATGGGGATATAAATATATTCCTTGCCCTCTAGGACCTTATATTCTACTAGAGAGATATGGCATATGGTCAGAAAAGTAATAATAACGCATTAATACTGCTTTTTGAGGTTTATAAAGCATTTTCATCAAAATAACCTATGTGGGGTAAGTAATGTAAGTGTTATTATCCCTCAGTTTCACAGATGAGGAAACTGGGTAGGTGAATTAACCTGAGGGGAGAGAGGGGAGGAGTGTAACACAGCTGCTAAGTGTCAAAGCAGGATATTGAACTCGGCACCCTAAGTCCAGCAGGATTTCCAGTATACCAAGGTGGGGCAAAAGAGTTAAAGACAAGAAAACCTGATGGAAGAGAATTAGCTGGGGAAAGCTCAAAAGCCTCCATGGAGGATGTAGTCCTTGCAAGGATGAGAAGGATGCTAACGGGTAGAAAAGAAGATGATGTGCATTACAGGTACAATTGGCCATTTCCATTTCAATTCAGCTGTAATAACAAATCCATAAAGAGAAGTAATACAACAACCCATGGGAGGAAAATGGTGCGAGTATTATTACCTCCCATTTCACAGATGAATAATCTCTGTGAGAAGTCTGGAAAAATAGATTGGAGACCATGAAGCATGCTATCTTTTACAGAGATATGACAGACTTAGGGGGCAGAATGAGACATATATGTATGTGTATGTATATATACATGAGTGTATATAAGTATATGTATATATGAGTGTATTTATTTATATGTATATGTGTGTATATATGGAGAGAGCCACTGAGAGAATCTATAGGTGCATGTATATATACATGGATGTATGTAAGTGTGTGTATATAGACGTGCATATTTGTACATATGTGTGCATACGTATACACACACACATATACGTGGAGAGAGACAGAGGCAGAGAGAAGAAGGGAGGGAGGGAGAGAGAGAGACAAAGTCACTGAAGGAATTTATGTGTGTATGTACATATACACATGTATGTGTGTATACACACATGTATGTATAAGTATATGTATATATACATGGGTGTATATGTGTGTATACATATATACACACATGTGTATACATATATACACACATGTGTACATATGTGTATGTGTGTGTATGGAGTGTGGGGATAAAAATTATTCAACCTACAATAAAAGAAACTGAGGCAGAACTCTGAGCCAATGGTACTTCATTAAAGGGTCCATGGTCCCCTCTAACAAAGTGGACCTCAGATCTTCCTCATGATGTGATATGCCCCCTGTTTCCAGGGCCCTATTTTTATAGAATTTGATACATAAACATTCTATGATGTATAGGCTGAAATAAGCAAAACGATATATCAACAGAGTCATGAGTTGGGCAGAGCAAGGAATATCTCCACTGGCTAGTTGGTCATAAGATGTCACAAGATGGACACCTGCTCATGCTGGACAAGAGAGAATGGGCCAGAGGCACCAAAATAATTTGGAGGGACTTTCCATGTAGTTGAGTCACCTCCATGATACTGGGCTTGATCACCACGACATGTCAAAACAAGATGAGGAGGGCCTCCATCCAGCTTCCCATGGTGATGAAAATGATCTTACCATCTGCAGCTCACAGCTCTGGGGCCAGAACTTACAATCATATCAGTTTGATTGATACTGATTGGAACAGAGCAGGGGATCTTCAATGAATCAACTTTTTCATCTGCCCCCCCCTTGATCCACAGAAAGACTCCAGTCTTTCTTTAGGTCACTACCGTTTAAATGCATGGAGAGCGGTCCTGCATGGGCAACGCAAAACCAGCAGGGGACGGTCCCCTCATTGAGGCTCAAAGGTGACATACATAATGAGGGAAAACGGGCACATCTTATAACACCTCATTATGTTCCATTTGATTAAACAATAACTCATAATGTACTAAATGTACCAATAAGTGTCTAAGGTGACACTCTCACTAACCAAGAAGCATGAGGAGCAGGTACCTCATGTCCTATAAGATATGAAAATTGGGGGACCATAGGGCATTCATTCAAGTGTAGCAATGCAAATATTGTCTGACCTACACACAGAAATCTTTGTGAAAACTATTCCAGCAATTTTGACAAACAGCCACCCCATTTTGGTGATGAGAGGCAACATCCCTTCAGACAACACAAACAGATCTAGACGTTTGGAACACGGGGAGTGGAGGAAAATAAGGAACAGGTTGAGTTCTATGAATGAAGAAGTTGTCAATATTATCAGTCATTGCTGTCAGTGGTGAAGCAAAAGCCAAAGTAGGAGAGTGACTGAAAGGGGGGATTCGAAGTTCCAGTCACTACAGGCTCAGGAACAGGTGGATTAGGAACCATTTGTGGAAAGGATGATAATGATGAATCCCATCTCATACAGTTGTCTTTGAAACATCCTCTGATGCAGTCCTGTGGTCTTCTGGAGATCTTTCCTCTTAGGAAAATGGGAATGAGAGGGGCTTCGAAGTGACTTCTAGTGGGTTTACTTCTCCAGCTCAGGTCACTTGCAGAGATACCCTTCTCTGTTAACAATCTCTGACAAATAGATCTTAATACAATTCTAATTTGCTATGACAATAACTAAGTCAGGTAGTAAAAGCCAGCTCAAATCTTAATAGCACTAATATGAAAATGACTAGACCAGATAATTTACATTTTTAGGTTGGCAAATTCAAATGACAATTGAAAAATTGAAAAATTCTGAACCTAAATTTTATATTTGGCATGTATAATTACCTAACCTTATTACAACTATTTATTAAAATCAACTGAAAAATTTTTACTCTAGCTATTTTTTTCTAGCTATTTTCTATTAGCTGCTCACCCCTCCCCTAGGAGGATACAATGCTGGTAGGAAACTATTAACAGAACACTTTCTTCTTATAAGATGATGACCTCTGATACACAACTGAATTCATTTAAAATTTACCAAAATAATTGTAACTGTAAGAAAAAATTCTGGGATGGGATGAATAAATGCATTGAGTAGTCAATTTCAAGACAGTGCAGGTGAAATAAGTTATTTATAATAAAACATGTTTGTCTTTCAAGACATGCTTAATATCCAGGTGATAATACACACCCAAATAAAATTGTCTTTTCCCATTTAAATAACTCAAGATATTCTAACATTCTTTTCAAATTAGAACTGAAGATGTTTCTGTTTTAATAAGTCTTAAAGTCTTAATAATTAATAGAACAATAATTTGGTCCCATAAATTGTTCCAGAAATATCCAATCATCCTCACATTAATTTTAGGAAGAACTAAAATTTTAGGCTAAATAACTCAAATCTTATCTCCAGTATTAATCTATGAAACTTCAGAGAATTTTAATAGTTGCATCATGAGGGCCTGAATTGGAAACCAAGTCTTTGTCTCTCTTAATATTATGAGACAGATGTTTCAAACAATTTTTACATGTAAAATTCTTAATCCAGTTTTGGAAATTGTGTCACATCTCCTACTAATCATGTTATCATGATAAAAGGATGTTATAGGGCGATTTCTTATAAACTAAATAACCCACCAATGGTAAGGCTTCATGGTCTCTACTATTTGTGATTCAAATGACTACACTTGCCCTTATCAATGGAATTTGCTCTGTGAGGAGAAAGTCAGGGACAAAGCAGCATTAGTTCTGTTTGATTTCAGGTATGAGTCATAAGCAGCCAATTGTATGACAGGATGTCATAGCCATCCTCAGAATTAACCGCGTGGGAAAATTTCTTATTTACCAGATGGGGTAAGAGAATCCTACCTTTGCCTTTGTAAAGTCATTCTCTTGACTTTCTCAGTGACATACATCCACCTATAGTCCTCAAACTGCAGTGGCACATGACATTTCCCTTGAATGATGAACCAGCAACTGTATGCAGGGTCAAGACACTTATACCTGGATTCAAGATTTAGAATAGCAGCAAATTGAAGTCCCAAGAGACTCTTTGTCAAACAGCAAAATTTCAGTAATTGCAGCTCAGGGCTAGATAATTGTTATTTTTCTCATGTATTAGCCTTAAAATTTCATCTAGAATTTTTTAAACTATTCAACAAATTTCATCTATGTTCCCTTATCATTCCTCCCTTGGTCTGCAGATAAAACCAAAGGAAGATCATACCATTTCTAGAATACAATGAGATGAGACCCCCATCAAAGTCCACATGGACAAATGGGTTATATTTAGGCACAATTTCTTTGGGGACAGCTATGATATCAGAAAGAACTGTGGCTTTAGAACCAAGGAACAGCTCAACCTCAGTCAAGGACTGACTTGTACACAATAATAATCTTTTTCTATAAGTGTCCAAAGAGGGGTGCAAGCTAGTAGATGGATACCAGTGAATGTGACTTAAAAGGCCAGCTGATTAAAAGCTGCACAAGTTGGACAAGTGGCTGTCATGCAAATTGCCACTGGGGTGGTGTCTGGAGCAACCCACTCTTAATTAAATCTATTATCCCTTCTGTGTCATGATGACCTCCTTAGGAACTAAAAAAGTTTATCTGGGGAGGAGATACAATCTATCCCAGTTGCCCAGACCCAAGAAACCTGTTTAGTATTGTACTGCTATTTAGACTTCTTCACCACAAGTTCATACACAGTGAATAGCTGGTTCAAAATAATAGCATTAAAAGATACAATTACATGAGTTTCCAAATGGAACCAAATGACACCCACTTATTATTCAAAAAGTTTCCTTTTTCCACTTTGGGTGGGAGAAGCCTTAGTTCTTCAAAAGGCAGTGCAGCTGAGTTTCACACCACCCTGTCAGTAGAGCTCATCCCAAGGAACCTCACAGACAAAGCTCTTCTAAGAGGATTTCGCAATGCTTTTCTCAACAGTAAGTCATCATCATTATCATCATCATCATTATTACTATTATTTTCCAGGTTTTTAAAAATATAAACTACAATAATCATATAACATGTATTTATAATGAAACAGTATTCAGATTGAAAAGAGGAAGAAACTTACTTTAATAGCTTCTCTTAGCCTTCTTGTTTTTAAAACATCACCAGTCATGGGATAATAATTTAGTTTAATCCCTTTCAAAGTTACTAATTCATAGAAAGTCATTTATCTTATTACCCCTGGCATTTTCATGTTAATCATAGTAGTTGATGTAGTGCCTACCCCATGCCAGGCTTCTTCAATGTCTTAAAAGTTGCTCAAGTCTGTTTTTTAGTAATACTTTATAATGTCTGATCTGTAATTTCCCAATTTTGTTAACATTCCATGCCAGTTAAGAAAAGTACCTATAGATGGGATAGCATTTTGTTCAATTGTATTCCTACAAGGTCTGAACACTGCAATGCTCATCCTTTACACAAGCTCGGCAGTGTGTTAAGGACTTCACAACTATGTGTTTTTCCCAACAAACCTGAGAGATAGTCGTAAACATTTATTATTCCCTTTGTACATATAACAAATGTTTAGATTCTCTAATTTACTCCCATTATGATATTTTCAACTCAATCAATTTTTATTTATGATGACCAGTGGTAATAACTAAACTTCATTTTGGACAAATTCCATTATTTTTAGTTGGCTTTTATTAAAAAAAAAAAATCCATGGTGACATTCCCAACTTCCCATTACTGCTTCTTTGTTTCTTTGAGTTCCCCAAAGAGCCAGACCAACACCTTTAAATTTTCTGAATGACTAATCCTTTAGCACAACTATTTAAATCAAAGCAAAGAGATAATCCATTTTCTAACAATCAATTCATTAACATATTTTATGAAATCTATTTTGTGGACTTATATTGATTGAGGAAAGAAGACATGTATCAACTATCAAGGGGGCATTGCTTTAAAAAAATTTCCCACATCTTTTCTATTTCAGTGGGATTAAGACCCAAGGCCCAACTATGGCACAGAAATGGCACCCTAAAAGGTTCTCTGTTATTCTCACAATAGTAAGTTACTCTTATTACTTCTCTTCTTCATTGTTCACTCTTAATGAAACACTGAACAGTTTTCTCAAAGGCAACTTGCATTTTAATGCTTGTTGACTGGGAATGATCCTGATTCCTGCCTCTTTCTTTTTACAAAGTTTTGATATTCTCCAAAACTGTAGTTTCCCTGTTAGGAATTTTATGTTTGCCTCTCATCAAAAGAAGAACTAATTTCCTAATAGTCATAAATGAACAGAAATCCTTATTATACTAATTTAACTTTGAATTCACCTAAATTAAATATAGTTAAATAAAATTTTTTTTAAATCTCATCTTCCTCAAAGGCCATTAACTGTCAAGATTTCAAATTTCAGGGTCCAATACCATCAATATGCTCCTGTTTTAATATATAGGTGACAATGATTTGAATTAGAAAGATCCTTTTATTTGAAGTATAACAATTTCTTGATTTAAAATTTCTATTTTTATTAAAACAGCTTTTGACTTCATATAGAAATGACGGGAATTGCACTACTTAAAACTATCTGATGGAGCTTGCACTTTTCTGAAGTGCTCAGGGCATAACTTTTTCCCTATTTCCTTTCAAATCACTCAAAATTAAGTCCATTTATTTATTTATTTAGTTACTTAGTTATTTTGCCCAACCTATTGTATGGTATCATTTAGTAGAAATTCCAAATCACTGCTTTATGGTTTTGCAAGCTTTCAACTGATAAGAACTTCCTTTATATTGTAAGTTTCCCCATTTCATCCTATAAAATGTTTATTTGTCCTGAAATAATTTGCAAGTTCTGCTTTTCCCTCTCAAAATTTCAGTATTTCATATTTTTATAAGCTATATGCTGATTTTAACTTGATCTTTTCTAATCTAAACACCCATGATCATTTAGTATTATGATCATTTCTGGCTTCTCATGGCTTTCAGACTGGCCACCCTTACTTCCAAAGCTGCTATCAGCGAGGGCTGCTCAAAAAGGCTTTGGTGTGGCTGTAATCAGTCCTAATACCATGAAAGCTACTAAGGACCTTTCTCTCCTATTAAAAGGTTATAGGGCTCCACTTCCAGCCCCAACTCTCTGCAACTGGAATCACAGTGCCCTCTCCTTCAGTCAAAGGCACTGCTGCCAGCAGCATTGCCCTGTCCCCCTTTATGTGAACTAAACTATTCCTTATATTTTTAGGGTTTGGGAAATAGGGGGTCCCTGTCCTGAAAAGTCACATGGTTCGATCCCCTTCAGCCTTTATGAGAGACTTCTGGTGATCTATTCACAGACTTGGTGTCCAGGCTCATAAAATAAGAGATCCCCAAGCAGGCCCTACCTGATGGCACCTCTATTAGGTGTGCATGCACATATTTTATTACTATACCTAATTTTAATTTTTATATACATAATTTATATACATAGTCTTATTTATTCTATCTTCAATGATTCTTTCCCTAATTAACTATAGCCTTATTTATATAGTTTGAATTTATTTTTACTAACCAATAGATTTCAGTGTTTTGATTTACCTAAATAATTGACTGAAATTGCAGTAGTATCATTAAGCTTCACTTAGCTTAATGTGATTTCAAAACAAGTTTTCTTCTTCTGGGAGCACTTTGCGAATCATCTTCAATCTGGGATCCCCAATCAGGACTTGCTTGGTACCCTCAGGTTGCCTGTTTAAAAGCAATAAACAACAGAAAGATAAATGAACCCCAATTCTGCCCATTTTTAATATTTTCTGAAGATAGCCTAAATTTCCTTATTCTGCCTTCTAATAATAAAAATTCTTTCCTACCATAAACTTATTCCAACTTTGAGTACAGTTTTTAAAGTATACCTTTAGTCTATACTAAAATTAAAACCCATTTCACAGATTGATACCCCAAAATTTCAGACTTAGACGCTGGTTAGCCGAAACTTCTTTAGACTTAACAAATGTGTTTCCTTTTTTAAATTCTGAACTGTGGGATTATTTAAACTCACAAGATTTTTAATCCAATTTCTCCTATACTATTTTCTAAGTTTTTTCTTATTTTAGCACTTTCCTGAATTCCTATTTCACTGAATCTTTCCTGAACATATTTCATGACTATTAAGACAGTCCTTAAAATGCGAACTTCAGCTTTAAATCAATCCTTAGTCATTGGAAAGGTCCCTTTTAAGGCATAACTCTGTGAATTTTGTTTGTTTCTTTCAGTTTTCACTGAACTCTACAGAATTTGATAGTGTGGAACTCACGACCATCTTGTGGCTGGGGTCCTGCCGTCAGCCTAAGATAATTCTTCTGTTTTCTAATTATATATTAATGCTTTTAAAATCTTAACAATAAAACTTATAATTTAGTAGCAACACAAATTGCTCCAGTCTAATTTGCCTTTGCCAATTGGGTTCATTCATTTAAAATGCACTTTGTATTTAGAACAAGTCTCTAATAGAAGAATAGATAAAAGTTCAAGTTCCATTCCTCTAAACTTGTTGCCAAAGTATAATATCACAGGAAGAAAAACTGAAATTGATGTAGTTAGCAATATCAACAATTCATTTATTCTAAGGTGATTGGGGAGGTTATTCAATAAAATTCCATAACTTTCTAAATAATCAGAAGTTCTATGCTTTGACCAAAACAAGCTCCTAAATCCTTTGTATTCTCAAACCAAACTTCACACCGCTCAATAGCTCTTTCTTTTGTCATCCCCACCCCCCAGACAAAGAGCCCACCCTTTTTCCAGGCCGTACTGGGGATCTTGTAGGATGCATTTCTCCTCTTATGCCAACCCCTTCTCTCATTTGGGTGCCCCCAATCAGGAGTGGTACTCTTTGGAGGAACTTCCCTTGAGAGAATTGGCCTAGGTTCCTGAGGTACACACCTTTTTGTCTATTCCTTCTGAGAAGTTTCCCAACTGAAGGCGCATAGAGATTACCTCCCTCAGATATCCGCGTGGGACAGGGAGTTCACCCTTTTCCCAGGCCTCATAATAAATCGAGGGAGATAATTTCCAGCTGCCTATATGGGCATCTTTCCTATGGCTCACACTGTAATATTCAGGGATTTTCTTTGACAATTTCTCCAATACTTCCAATTCTTAATTTCTGGGCTTAACCTCTAGGGTCCTAAGATTGGTCAACTAGTGCCTAAAGGTGCTTAATAAGGGAGTTTTCAGCAAAATTTATACCTACTTTCCTTTAAAACTTCCCGAAAATTTAGCTCTGACTTAATCCTAAGCAAATATAAGTGAAAATAACCTTTTCCTTTCCTCATATCTGTGAAACTAAAATAAGCCTTCTTCTCAGGTCAAAAGAGGGTGGGATTGTTCCCAGGATGGTCAAAGCCTTGACAGCTTACTGCTGGGGTTGGGAATCTCTTCCCTAAGGCCCCAAAAGTTTCCCCCCCCCAACCAATTTTGGAGATTTCTCTATCGATGACAAGAATTATTTAATTACTCCTTGTAAAAAGAATTTAAAGACAAAAAATCTGTTTTAACCCTGCTAACAGGAAGTTTTAACATTACCTGTCTAGCAATGGTGGCTAGCTGACTGGGAATGAGGGACTAGCTATTCCACTGCTGAATCTCTCTGGTCCTAAAAAATGAAAGTTAGAAAAATGGAGGAAAAAAGAACAGTAGCCTATGTTTTAAAAGTTAAAATTATGGACATGTGATTTTATAAAAAATAGATTTTGAGTGCTCCAGAGCTTGTAAATTTAGACAGATTAGTCACAAATTCAAATAATCCCTGTTAGCTCAATCAGGGACCCTTCTTAAAGAAAAAGAATTTAGGGTAAATCAAGACAGACTCACAGACTCTTGAGGAGATTTACTTCAGGCTCAGAGAATTTGGGTGCAGATAGCGAGGGAAGTCCAACCTCCCAAGGCCAGTGTCCGCAGGAGAGCCATTGGCAAAAATTCGACCCTGTATGCATTTCCTCTTTGGGTTTCTTGCAGAGGCCAGTCAAAAGAGATTGGGGTGCATGCATCACTGCCCCAGCAGAGTTGCTATTTATGTGGGGATAAAAATCATCCAATCTACAATAAAAGAAACTGAGGCAGAGCTCTGAGCCAATGGCGCTTTATTAAAGTGTCCATGGTGCCCTCTGATGAAGTGGACCTCAGATCTTCCTCAAGATCTGAGATGCCCCCTCCTTCCAGGGCCCTATTTTAATAGGGCTCAATATGTAAACAATCAAGAACAGAATAATTTCATTGGTTGACATATGATGCATAGGCTGAAATAAGCAAAACAATATATCAACAGAGTCATGAGTTGGGCAGAGTAAGGAATATCTCCACTGACTAGTTGGTCATAAGATAGTCACAAGATGGGCACCTGCTCATGCTGGACAAGAGATAATGGACCAGAGGCACCAAAAAAATTTAGGGGGACTTTTCATGTAATTGAGTCACCTCCACCATACTGGGCTTGGTCACCAGGACATGGAATAACAAGGGGGGAGGGCCTACATCCAGCTTCCCATGGTGATGAAAATGATCTTACCATCTGCAGCTCACAGCTCTGGGGCCTGAACTTACAATCATATCAAATTGATTGATACTGATTGGAACAGAGTAGGGGGTCTTCAACGAATCAGCTTCATCAGGAGAGAGAAAATCTCCATACACAAAGGTATACACACATATGTATGTATATGCAGTCAAGTACACACACACACACACAGAGCCACTGAGAGAATTTGTTTTGATTGACTTTGCGTATTTGTTACAAGAAATTTGTTTTTCTTTTCTTTCCACTGGGAGTGGAAGGGAGTAAAAAGAGATTTCTGTTCATTTAAAAAAAATAGAGAGGGGAAGGTGTGCTACAAATGTGAAATGCTCCATGATCTTTCAGATGAGATTACTGGATTCTTAGTTTTACTTATCTGCTTTACTACTTTTACAAAAGCCTTTTCACAAAATGGGAGCAATTATCTGTATTTGCAATGTAAAAACAAAATACATCAATAAGACTTAAAAAAAATTGAATAGATAGAAATCAGATTGTGGAAGGCTTTAAATGCCAGGCTATTGAGGTTATATTTGAACCTACAGGCAATAGGAAGCCACTGAAGGTTGCTGAGCAGGGAAGGAGACCTGGATAAATTAGCTTGGCTGGTAAATAATTGATGAGGTGTCTAATAGCAAATAGGAATGGTCATTCGTAAATGAATTACAGTTACTCAAAACTTGTTGCCCAATTGATGCAACAGTTTTTGAAGTTTCTGTTGTTGAAAGCTAACAAAGACTGGTGTGTAATTGATGTGTTTAAAGAATTTCTCTGGGATATGGGCTAAACCAGTGGTGGGAAACCTTCAGTCTCAAGGCCACAAGCAGCCTTCTAGGTCCTCAAGGGTGGCCCTTTGACTGAATCCAAACTTCACAGGACAAATCTCCTTAATAAAAGGATTTGTTCTGTGAAACTTGGATTCAGTCAAAAGGCTGTACCTGAGGACCTAGAAGGCCACATGTGGCCTTGAAGCTGTAGTTCCCCGCTCCTGGGCTAAATCATATCAATTATTTTATTCTTTAGCAGACATACCCTTTCCCACCCCTCCATGCCCCAAATCTACAAGTCCTATTTATAAAAGCACTGCAAGTGACCATAAGTCACACCTGAAGTTCTAGTTTACTGAAAAAAAAATTGTTCATGTATTTGCAATGCCATGGTAAAAGAAACAGGACATGTATTGGAATGTTTGTATATTTGTTATCATTAGGATTCTAAATTTAATGACTCACCTAAGTTTCCTATTTCTTGACTTGAAAAAGTCCAGATTCCAGTGCAGGAATTAACAGGTTTTGGTAATAAGGGGTGGACATGTGCTCTACCCCCTCCTTTCATATTCAGCATGAAATGAAGAGAATACTGACCTGGAAGTCTGGAGATCTGGGTTCTAGATCCAGCCTTGCCACTTTCTAGTTAATTTCACCTTGAGAAAATTTCTTCACCTCTCTGAATCTCAGCATCTTCTTGTGTAAAGTTGAAGGAGTGGATGAAAGGACCACATAGGACTTTTCCAGTTCTGACCTCTAAGTTCCATTCTGGCTCTGACTCTTTTTGGCCTGTGATTCAGTTCTCTGCATGACTCATGTTTTGGGTCCATTTGGGTACCTTCTACTGAGATTTGACCCCAGTGTTGACCCTACCACAAAGGCAGTAGAGGAGGATGGCTGGGGCTGAAAAAGAGCTAGGATGCAATCCCTCCTTGAAAAGGGGATTTGGCTTGCCCGTGTCTGTGCATTTAAAATCCCTCTTTAAAGCCACAGTCTGAACGTGTCCGTGGGGAGACTTGAGGGCTGCGCATTGCCAGTAGCCAGATGAGGCTGTCTCAGGACCCCTCTTCCAGCCCCCTCCCTCAGGCCCAGAACCACTCAGCTACGCTTTTTGTGCACTTGTTTCCGAGCTCTGGATGCCCAGGAGGGATGCCACTTACATCAGTTTCTCTGCCAGGGCCTCCTTCAGGCTCTAAGAACAAAAATCTTTCCTCTTCACTCCCCTCACTCCAGCAGCGGATACGAACCACCAGTCCACTCCAGCCCGCAAGGTATGGGTCATCTAAGCGTCTCCCAGAACGATTCTTTGGCCTCCGCCAGAGGGCGCACCGGCTACGGACCAGGAAAGCTGGAGGATTCGGGCGAACAAGAATAGGAAAACCAGCCTACAGGCAGACAAATAGCCAGGCTCTAGCCGCCTCCCAGATCCTTGTCCAGGAGACATTAGCTGGATTCCGTTTTATATTTAACACCCATCCTCCCTCCCTCCCTCCCTTTCCTTCTCTTCTCTTCCAGGTTACTGGGGAGGTGGACGGTGGTGGCAAAGCTCTGGCCAAATTGAGCCGAGGCTCTCCACCGTGATTCAATGATTCTCCCTCTGGCTGTTTCTCTTTGTTTGAATTTTCTGGTTATCCCCTTATTCCTAACTCCTTGAGCCCCGGGAGTTAGAGTTTTCGTGAATTTCGGCTCTGGTTTAAAAAAAAAAAAAAAGGCAGCCATCACAAAAACGAACAAACGTAAAGTGGGAAACAGGTTTCCAGATTTAGAGCTGAAAGGATTTCAGGAGGAAAAACGTAAACTCAGGGAAACTGAGGCCAAGAGACTTACCCACCTCCTACACGTTTTAAGTTGCAAAGCCTGCGTTTGAACCCAGGTTCTCAGACTTCAGAAGAGCATGATGTCCCTGGTAACACTGTTTTCCTCTTGCGTTAGGAAATTCAGAGGCTGGGATAAGGGCGAGGAAAGGATATGTTATTCGTTATTTCAGAAGACCACAGATTGAGCGTTGCAAGAGACCTCAGAATATACCTAGTACAGAATCCACCCCCTTTATTTTACAGGCGAAGAAACTGA